CTACCCAATAGTCGTTCCTTCACCATCCCTCCATCCCCACATGCCAGCACAGGGACAGTGGCCAGGGGGATGGGGTGTAAAGTGAAGGAACGACTGGAGCACCCCTAAGCTCTTGCACTGTCCAGATTCTGGAAGAGCCCCTTGGGGGCAGAGGGAGCTAGTGAATAACAGAGCACAAACTGCACCTTTCTGCCTAAAAGCCGGGAATCCAAAGTTCAACCCACACCCGTATTTTACAAACCTGAAACATGACTGACCATGCTTGGTCAACACCAAAGCTATCCTGTATTCTAAATAAATCCAGCCCTGCACCAGAGCTCAGCAGCTGTATGTTAACTTTGAAGATCTTGGTTTCTTGCAGTACAGTCCATTCAAGTGCTATCACCTTCCTTTAAGGTCTTGGAATCCATGTAAGAGCCTTTTTATTTTTTTAAGTGTGAAGTTACACTACAGCCCAGCTGCCACTTACCTCCGCAAGTGGGTTAGCAGTTTATATAAGTTTTGTCACGACTTGAAAACAGTTTAATGGTTGGGCAGCTTATGTAGGGAGCAAAAATCTATTAATGCTTCCTTTTTCTAGTTAGAAGAAGCTCCTCCTATCTGGCTAGTCCCACACCTCAGATTCCTTCTTAGATCCTCAAACAAACTCACTACAACTCTCAGAGTATGTAAGCAGCCTTTCTTTAAAGTTGATGTATTACCAGAGGTCCTGCCACCATAAAAAACAAAATCCCCCCAGCACAGTACAGTCCATTCATTCCAAGACTTGAACACCAAGTACAGGTCTAGAGTCTCTCACCACACCTCATCCCAGTCCCTCTAGCTGGAGTGGTTCTTTGCCCTGTTTCTTTCCCAGGTGTGGTTCCAGGTCTCACCTGGAGACATCAGTGGGCTCACCCCACCATCATTCCCCAGCCTTCATCTCTCTCTACTTGCAGCTCTCCAGCTCAGAGAGCCAGCAGATCTCTCCCTCTGCTGCTGTCCACCTTCAGCCCTTTCCAGCCAGGGCTCTCTGGCCTGGGAAAGTTTGTAGGTGACCCCCCCCTGCCCCCGCAATGCCTTCCTGCCTTCAGCTTTCATCAGCCTGCTCCGGCTCCACTGTTCAACCAGGGAACGCTCCCCATTCCCTTAATCAGAGGCACCCCCTCCCTGAAGTTCACAACCCAGTTCTGCTCTGCTTCTGGGCTCCCTCTCAGGATTCTGAACTCTCATTGATAACTTCTAGGGGAAGTCCTGCCCTCCTCATTACATCAAACTAGGGCACACCTGGATTGGAACAGGAGAGCTGGTCCCTATTTCACGTGAGGGACCACCTACCTGCTACAAGCACCTAGCCAAGAATCCCGTCTTATTTACATATGGAGAAAACTTCTCTCTCCCTCACAACCTAGCTAAAAGGAGCCCCTAAATGCTGCTTTCCCATCACACAAAGAGGCCCATTATTGACTGAGTCAATCAAGATCCAGAGATGGGTGGGGAAACTATAGGAGTTAAACTAACTAGAAATAACCGGCTCTGAACACAGAAAACAGAAGGATGTACACATGGGTCAAATCTCTTGATTCCCCAAAGAAGTCCAATTTGCATATTTTCTTCCAAATCACAAGATGAACATTTCTCTCCCATATGAATAAAATATACTATAGATCAGCGTTACTCAAACTATGGTCCATGAAGGTACCACAGGGGGTCCACCGGTTCCACTGATTAATTTCTCCCACTCCCTCCCAGTGCCTCCTAAATGCCAGGAAACAGTTCAGTAACGTGCAGGAGGAACTGGGAGGGATGGGAGGAGTGGGGAGGGGAGGAGCAGGGAGCGGATAAATTTGTGGGAGGGGGCGGAATCATGTCCAGGGCTGCCAGCCCCGCTTATCAACTCCTCCCCTCGCTCCCTCAACTCCTCCCACTCCCTCCCCATGCCTCCTGTGGGGCCTGGGGCTGAGTGGAGGGCTTGGGGATCTGTGAAAAAATGTAAATCAAAATGGGGGTCCGTGGGTTGCTAAAGAACCGCCGCCATAGATCATTTGTTTTGTTCCTTCAGTATGTCATTCACACTGAATTAGAAGCTTTATATTTGTCTAACCCAGAAATCAGATACATATATCTCTCTGTACATGAATAATCTGTCTTATTCCTCCCAGGTCATGCCTCATGTTCTACTATAAACCCCAAAAGGAAGATGATATAACCAAAGAATGTACGGACTAGGAATTTTAAGGGATTTATGTCTGTTTTCTTTCTAAATTATTGTTGCACTATAGAAGAGGTATGAACGAAGGAGAAAGAAATATCAGGGTATAACTTTGGAATATTAAAAGAAATTCCTTAAAGATGTGGTAATTTCAATTGAGAGTCCGGGCTAATAATGAAATACAATCTTTGATATGAATGAAATATAAGATCCCACTGACTAAGGAAAGCTTCTGAGAGATTAGTTACATATCGACACCACCTACTGGAGATCCACAGTTGCCATTCTCTCTGAGCACTGACAGGGTTGAGTGTCCAATAGAAAATCAGAGAGTAGCCCTGACCAGTGATCCTTGCAATCAGGGTATATAGGACTGCTATCACTGGGTGGGACCTCAGAGTTGCTGAACCCATTTAAGAAACTGCAGGACTGAGAAGCACCACAGACCAATTCTCCCCCTCCTAGGGTTACCAGGACTCAGAAGAAGAAGCTGTGAGATTTAATTTCAGAGATTATATTTCTCTTTATGTAGAATCATAGAATATTAGGGTTGGAAGAGACCTCAGGAGGTCATCCAGTCCAACCCTCTGCTCAAAGCAGGACCAACACCAACTAAATCACCCCAGCCAGGGCTTTGTCAAGCTGGGCCTTAGAAACCTCTAAGGATGGAGATTCCACCACCTCCCTAAGTAACCCATTCCACTGCTTCACCACCCTCCTCGTGAAATCGTGTTTCCTAATATCCAACCTAGACCTTCCCCCTGAAACTTGAGACCATTGCTTCTTATTCTGTCTTCTTCCAATTAGTGAGAACAACTGAGCTCCATCCTCTTTGGAATGCCCCTTCAGGTAGTGAGTTGAAGGCTGCTATCAAATCCCCCCTCACTCTTCTCTTCTGCAGACTAAAGAAGCCCAGTTCCCTCAGCCTTTCCTCATAAGTCATGTGCCCCAGCCCCCTAATCATTTTCGTTGCCCTCCACTGGATTCTTTCCGATTTGTCCTAATCCTTTCTGTAGTGAGGGGCCCAAAATTGGATGCAATACTCCAGATGTGGAATGCCAAAAATAGGAGAATAATCACTTTCCTGTATCTGCTGGAAATGCTCCTACTATGCAGCCCATTATGTCATTAGCCTTCCTGTCAACAAGGCCACACTGTTAACTCATATCCAGCTTCTCATCCACTGTAATCCCCAGGACCTTTTCTGTTGAACTGCTGCTTAGCCACCCAGCTCCCTGCCTGTAGCAGTGCATGAGATTCTTCTGTCCTAAGTGCAGGACTCTGCACTTGTCCTTGTTGAACCTCATCAGATTTCTTTTGGCCCAATCTTCTATTTTGTCTAGGTCACTCTGGACCCTATCCCCACCCTCCAGAGTATCTACCTCTCCCCACAGCTTAGTGTCATCCATGAACTTGCTGAGCGTGCAATCCAACCCATCATCCAGACCATTAATGAAAATATTGAAGAAAGCCAGCCTCAGGACCGACCCCTGGGGCACTCTGCTTGATACCGACTGCAAACTAGACATCGAACCATTGATCACTACCTGTCGAGCCTGACAATCTTGCCAGCTTTCTATCCACCTTATAGTCCATTCATCCAATCCATACTTCTTTAACTTGCTGGCAAGAATACTGTGGGAGACCACATCAAAAGCTTTGCTAAAGTCAAGGTATATCACATCCACCACTTTCCCCATATCCACAGAGCCAGTCATCTCATCATAGAGGGCAATCAGGTTAGTCAGGCATGACTTGCACTTGGTGAATCCATGTTGACTATTCCTGATCACTTTCCTCTCCAAGTGCATCAAAATGGATTCCTTGAGGATCTGCTCCATGACTTTTTAATATATATATATATAGAACTGAATATTATCTTGATGCATGTACACTCTTTTTAGTAAGACCTCAAGTGACCATCTTTTGTATTTTTACTAAATAATGCTACATGCATGTTTCTCCTTTTTAAGCCCAAGTATATTGGCCAAAGAGAAGCTCAAAATATGGCTTTAAGCAATTGCTTTTGATATTTTAAACTTGTCCCTTTGTGCCTTGACACTCTATACTTTGGGGGAATGCCCTGGAAACCCCATATTCATCATTCGTATATAATTGTGATATTTCACATAAAGCATGCCTGCAGCCTCCAAAAATCCTGTGGGGTTTGCTCATCAAGTGGGTTACTACCAGAACAAAGTGGGGATAGGGATGTGTTGAACCTGGGGCATATAAGGGTGGCAGCTTGGGAGTGCTGATTAAACCAGTCCTCTCAGACGCATTCTGTTGTGTGTGTGTGTGTTCATCTGATTCTAGGGCTGGAGGAACCCATCCCTGGGGAACCTAGGTCCTGCAGGATAGCTCCATTGGGACAGGACTTGCAGAAGAGAGTAGTAGAGTTCCATATGAGAACACAAGTAACAGAAGCAGTACATTGATAGAATTACCGAACCTCCCCCACCCCAGAAGAGTAATCCTAATAAATGAGCATACACCAAAGTAATGGTCAAATCTGCTAACACCCCTGCTGGCCACACTGCTTAGCTCTGTCTCTCCTGCTCACCTGTTACTATGGGAATTAGGGTAAATGTTGTTGAACCACTAGGCTGTCATATCAGCCAACCCCACATATATTCCAGCAAACACTCAGCTGGATGGAGCTAGGACAGTTTCCAGCAGCTGAGTATCTGCCCCATTGACTGAACTCTTAAACAAATTCCTAAGCGGCAATGGTGAAGAGCCACATGGCTGTAGAATTTCTGGGATAATCGCAAGAAAGATTTTTAAAAAGTAAGGAACAATTTCTTACTTTAGTGTCTTTAATATACTGTTTGGAGCCATCAATGCTTGACAGAGCTGGTAAATAGGAGAATGATGCGGCTCATGCTGATATTGTGCCCTGAAAAGAGAGAATAGACATTTTCTATGTTGTTCTCTGGAGACAAATTTTACTTATAAATTTCTATTTTCTGAACATACAAAATAGGCTCTTTGATGATGTAATCATACACTGCAATGAGTTATTCTGCTGTTTTAATTCATTACATTCATACATAAATCCTTCAAACCAAAAAAGAATTAAGTACATTAAGAGATAACTTTAAATACACAGAGTCAAATAGAATAAGTTCTGCTAAGTGTAATATATTCATTTTTTGAACGTGTGGTTTTCTGAGCATTTAAATGTAGTTCTAAGAACTCACACCAATGGGAATGTCTCCAGTGGTTTTATACATTTGTTTTGTTCAGTCATTTTTTAAATCAGTTCTGGGGCTACAACAGGAATGATTGTGTTTCTCTAACCAAGAGAGTTGTCTCTAATTTACCCACAAATAGCTAAAAAACAAAAAGATGAGTATTTGATTAAAATAGTAAGTATGACGACTATCACTCAGCAATCTGTAACTGGTGTTACACTTTGTGAAATTACACCCCCTTAACTAACCAGAAATGGTGACTTCTTAGATCCTGACACCCAAGAGTGTAACAGGGCAAGTTAATTTTAATACAGCATCTGTTTTAGAAATAGTGTTGGATTATCATCATCATGGCAAATCCCAAAGGGATGCTCCCTCCTTGTAGATCGAGCACCACCTGGAACAATCTCCAGGTGGGACCTTATGATGGTCTGGCTGGATTCTCAGTCTATGTCCATTATTGGCATTCTTCTTGCACCACCAAAGGTTTTGGGACCCATGTGACCACCAAATACGTAGCAGCATTCCTTGGTAAACGTGTTTTGTAGTTTGTTAATCTTCCATCCTAGTAATGTGTGCCTGCCAAGGAAAGCCTCCAAAACCAAACTGGTGCTGATGGAAGCAGTTGCTGGGTTCAGCTACGAATATCCTCATTGCTGATCTTGTCCTGCCACTTAATATGGAGCAACCAACAAAGACAACAAGAGTAAAAAATGTCAATCCACCCCTCTTCAGCCTTCCTCAGCTTACCTATGTAAATTGGTGAGACTGATACTGGAATTCTGATGTCAACATTTTTAAAAGGCTGTTGTAAAACTGGAGAGGAGCAACAAAAATTATTTGAGGGCTGGAAAAAATGCCAGTGAAAGACTGAAGGAGCTCAATTTTTTTAAAGCTTATCAAAATTAAGATCAAAAGGTGACTTTATTATGGTGTATAGGTACCTTCATAGGGAGGAAATAGTGGGTACTAACGGGCTCTGTCATCTAGTGGAGAAAAGCACAATAAGAACCAATGGCTTGAAGTTAAAGCCAGACGAATTCAAATTAGACATAAAGCACACTTTAAAAAAAAGAAACAAAAAAACCCCCAACAGCAAGGGTGATTATGCATTGGAACAAACTACCGAGGGAAGTGGTGGATTCTCCATTTCTTGATGTCTTCATATCCAGACTGGGTGCCTTTTTGGAAGAAATATTTTAGCAAACACAACCTATTGGACTCAATAAAGGGGTAAGAGGATGAAATTCTGTGGCTTATGTTATACATGAGGTCAGAGTAGATCAGGGGTTCTCAGACTTCATTGCACCACAATCCTCTTCTGACAACAAAAATACCACACGACCCCAGGAGGAGGGACTGAAGCCTCAGCCAAAGCCCAAACCCCTCTGCCCCGGGTGGAGAGGCCAAAGCTGAAGCTCACAGGCTTCAGCCCCAGCAGGGGGCCTGTAACCTAAGCCCACCATCCAGGGCTAAAGCTCTCGGGTTTCGGCCCTGGGAAGTAGGGTTCAGGCTTCAGCTCTGGCCTTGGGCCCCGGCAAGTCTAAGCCAGCCCTGGCAACCCAATTAAAATGGGGTTGCAACCCACTTTGGGGTCCCAACCCACAGTTTGAGAACTGCTGGACTAGATGATTTAATGGTCCCTTCTGGCCTTAATACCTATAACTCTATTCACTTAACTGAGACACTGGGTGAAATCCTGGCCGCGCTGAAGTCAATGGTAGTTTTGTTGACTTCAATGAAGCCAGGATTTCACCCACTCTCTGCCTCAGCTCCCATCTCTTTCCTTCAGCACTCACAACCACATCACTGCATCTCACACCTTTAAGCAAACACATCCGCAGGCAAGCAGCCACAACAAAGAAATAATAAAAAAACAAGCAAACCATTAAAACCAACACCATTCTACAAAAGAATGTCCTCAGCTTCAAGTGTATATTTTTTTTGCCAAAGCATTGCCAAAGAATTAAAATTAAACATATTCCTAAAATAATTGTAATGAGCTATTAAAATGACATTTAAACTTAAGGTACAGTACTACTCGTTCAACACCAAACTGGCTAGCCTGCACATTCCTGTAGTGAAGACATTGTTTGCTTCAGCAAGGTTAGACGAAGAAAAATAAGGGATTTAATTTGAAAGTGAAAAATATTAATATTCATTAATTTGCCTGTCTAAAGACTAATCCTGAAGTGAGTTTATGTTTTTATAAAACCATTTCTATGTTAAATAAATAATTTCTTATATGGTATATTTTAAGTACCTGAACTAAATACTTTGTTTCGTTTCATAGGACTTAATTAAGACCACTACTGCCCACTTATAAACTGTCTAGGTTACCTAACGTAACTCTCTGTGTGTTTCACAAAATTCATCTGACCACTCGTAGATGGTTTAAGTTATTACAGTTCCATAGTTAAGATAGAGTTGAGATTTGCTCTTAAGGCAGGGATTCAACCACTTTGTTGCACACGAAAAATACAGTGCATCCTCCCCCAAATTACAGCATTTACTCTCTGAACACAGAATGAGTTTTCCAAGAAACTACAAGTAAATTCGTTAATTAGTTTATTAATTTTAATTCTTTTGAAAATAGGTCCTTTAAGAAATTTAGCACCAGACATCAGTATGGATGCACCATTAGGGCACCAAAACAATCTTAATTTTGCTCTGTAGTGAACAAAATGTAATGCATCTTTAAAAAAACAGTTTAATATAATCTGACAGGACACTAGTCACTGCTGTATTCACACCCCCTCATACTACTGTAATAACATTTGTACAAAATATGCTTTGTGAGGTATCGTTTGAAAACTAGTAACTTGTTGATTGTTATTAATCTTGCACAATGTATGTAGGTGGTGGGTATTAACAGTTATGGACATATGCTGGAATGATGACTAAAATGTGTTCAAGCCAGGCATATCAGAAGTCGGTAAACAGGCCTGCTTAGACAAAGGAATGTGTATTTGATTCTCTGACCAGCCAAAACAATGAAAAACAATGACGGTCCATTTTTACATGTCAGGCAAACAAAGTTATCAAGCATCTATACTCAACAGGAGACACAAACTTGGTCTTGGTTTTACTTTTCAAAGAATATGTTGTAAAGGTTTACTGGTCTATAAAGACAGGGGACCGAACCTCAAGTGATAATCTATTAAATCAACTGATTTTCTACAATATTATTGTATTATAAGAGTGTATACCGTGAGATCCTTTCTGAAAGCTAATGACACACTGGTGATTAATACCATTGTAAAATGTGCGTATTAACCCTATATGGGGAGTTATGGACACCCATTGATATTGGGTTTTCCAGTCTGCCCAGACAGGCAGAAATGTCACAGCTATCTACCTGGTTCCCTATGTAAATTAAGCAGGGTAGAATCAGAAACAATGGAAGCCCTATTTGCACAGAAATTAGCAGGAGGCTGGGAAGCCGCCAGGAAGGGAAGAGGAGCAGGAGGTCATTTTGCCTCTTGTGACAAGGAAGTTTAAGAGAGACAAGCAGAAGCAGGAAGCCAGTTTTGGCATCCATCACTGGACAGACGCAGGAGGGGATAGCTCTTACAAGCTAAGTGTCAGGAACCAGGGCCTGCAGCAAAGCTGGTCTCTGAGCAGCCTCATCAGCACAGCTGGCCCGCAGCAGGCTGCCTGATAAGCGATGCAACCTGATTGGCTGCTGAGGCCAGCAGGCTGGCTCTTAAACCAGCAGCACTAGCTACTCACTAGCTACTCAGTGCTCATGCCCACCCCTGGGCCTGCTCCTGCCTTGCTTCTGTCCTGCCCCTGAACCCCTCCTTGCCTGATACCCTGCCTGCTCCAATTCCTGACCTCTGGGTTTGACTCCTGACGATTCACTATGGCTCTGGGTGACCAGGTGTCCGGTTTTGGATCAGAACACCTGTTCAAACAGGGATCCTGGCAGCTCCAGTCAGCACCACTGACTGGGCCACTGATTGTCTGACTGGTGGCGTCACGTGGCTCCCGGTTGTTTCTGGCCCGTGGGGTTGCAGCCGTGGCACCTGGTGCCCTGCCTCCCGGTCCCTGCAGCAGGACTGAGACAGCTCTGAGAGCAGAGGAAGCTGCACCCTCCTGCATTGTGCGCCAGACCCAGCTCCTTCTTCCCTCTCCCTCTATCCCTCCCCCTCCTCGGAGGGGCCACCAAGGCTGCGATCCCGGGCGCCCTGCAGTGCACACACGGGTAAGGGGGGTCTGGGCGCAAGCGTGTGAAGGCGGGGGCAGCAACACCCCGCCGGGTAGGGGGCACCATGGGCTGACTCCGGCCTGTGGAAGGGACCGGGTCTGACTGCAGCCAGAGCGGGTGTGTGTGTGTGCAGATGAGGCAGGGAGAGGGGGCACAGAAGGGGAGTGTGGGTGGGGGGTGCTGTGTGGGGCAGGGGGAGTGTTTGGAGGGGGGAGGCTGAAGGGGTTCAGGATGGGGCAGAGGGAGTGAGGCACTGGAAAGGGGAGTGTTTGGAGGGGAAAAGGGAAAGGGGCACACTGGGTGTCGGGGATAGGGAGAGTGTTTGCAGGTGGGAGAGCAGGAGGCAGCTGGGTGGGAGCAGGTATGCAGCTTGGGGGTGCTGGGGGAAGTGAAGTCTAGCACTGCTGGCCTGGCCTCGCAAACAGCCTGCCTGCTGTACTCGGGAGCCCTGATTGATTTGGGAGTAGCTAAAGCATCCTGGTCTCTTTCCTG